GATACTTAACGAAGCTGTAGCATTGTGATCAGCTACCATGTAACTAATTCCATTAAATGAAATAAACAAAAAGGGAAGTTTCAAAAAAGTTGATCTTGTGAGGATTGCATGTACCTCATGTTTCAAGAATGGGTTGAGGGATCTCAGATTTTTTTCTTTTTCTGAGAGAGGGGGGGGGTGGGGAGGTGTGGTTTGAGGAGGGTCCTTTTAGATTTTAGATTTTTAGCCCAAGAGAAACATAATGGGAAGAAATTAAGAGGGTTGGATGGGATCAGTCAAAGTTGGTTTGTTGAGGTTTTTCAGGGTTTGTTGATGCGTTGCTTATATGGGTTTCTTGGAAAGGTGAGATAAAAGGTATGTTATGGTTTTCATTACAAAGACATATTGGAGAAAACCATTAATATAATTTTGGTTCTGCAAGTAAAAGAAATGCTTTAAACTCAATCATTGAAAGCTATTCCAAACCTTTCTATTCATGGTTTCATGTCACCCGCATAATCTTTGATAAAGGAAGAGTAACCTAGATGAACTATATAGCTACAGACTAATCTCCTGGAACTAATCACTCTTTAATATAAAGCTAAAGAGTTAGTTAATCGGGAGATCATTTACATATGTCTCGTATGCAAGCTCCTCATCAATTAAGTCAAGAGGTTAATCCACTTGGCAAGCTTCTCAAACTCTAATTAGCAATCAAATAAACAAATTTCCTTAGTATTATCTCTCCCGAAAATATTAAGCACTTCTGGTTGATGAGTTAATTACCAGCCATGAAAATGAGTTCTTTTCCTTTATGAATAATTGAATGACTCATAAATTACCTGCAAAAGCTTATAAATTGAGGGAAGAAGAGTTGTTGACTTGTATGCATTTACTTGCACAAGTAAATAAATGTATCTATTTAAACTAAGGGAAAAAAATCTAAAAACCAAAACTAAAAAAAAAAAGAAAAACAATCTTATAGGACGAAATCCATGCATTTCTGGTTTGCTAGCTGTTCTGAGGTGACGGAACCATCCAGGAGACTTCTCCTTCAACCTGTCAAAAACCATTTCTTGCGAAATTCTTCTTTCAACTCTTTGGTCATATTATGCATGCATACTTGTAGTTTGACATAACTTTTAGATAACTACTTACTTGTTGAACTTTTACTTTGTCAAGTAGTTGCTCATGACAATTGTCTACAAGGGTTTCTTAAACGGATCAAAATTATGAAAAGCAATATATCGTTAAAGATGTTTTTGAGCTTTCGTATTATCATTAGCCTAACCTGCACAAGAATGTTTCAATAGACTTAAGCTAGTTGCAAACACATAAAAGGTCATATTAGCCATCAGGGGATGTCATTTTAATGCAGCCGTGGCCTGACAAATGTCGGAGTTTCTAGCCGAGAACTTGGCTATTCTAACCTCAATTGATAAATAAGATTTGCTTTCAAATTTTACAAGATTTTGATAAAATAAAGGATTCTTCTTCCCATTAGTTCATGGAAAACCTCAACAAATCATGGTGTTGGTGCTTATGCAATACTCTTCTAGATTACCTGTCACTTCACAAATACATGAAGATTATCAGATTGAACACTTGTAAATCTGAACTTAGTGCTTTCAAATTGCTTAATTGTACGAAAAGTCTTAATCTTGCTTACTTTGTCAAAGTTGGGATTTCAACATTACTCCCCTAACCCCTCATTTTCTTTCATGTTTCTTCCTACTGTTTAACTTCATTACCCGTTGTATAATTAACCTCAGTGAGTTTAACTTTCCATCCTCCACACTGTCTTTTGGAAAGTGCTAATGCTTGAGGTGAAATTGTGCTTTTCATATGCAATACACATGAAACCACCCACGCACGTACACATATGCATACATTTCGTATGGTTATTTTCAAGTAAAATTTGAAACGTTCTTGATTTAGTCTATTTCTTTCTCTTTTAGAGGAAGGTGAAGTGTATTCCTTTCTCTTTAGAGGATGGTGGGGTGGTAGACTTTTTCAGTTTTTCATGTTGTCCAAATGATTCCTCTATTGCCAATACGAAAATTCATGTGAATTATTTTGCATACGTCTCCTATGGTGATTTATTGCTACTTTTTTTTTTTTTTTTTGCTTTTATTTGGGGGAAAGATGGTTTGATTAGTAATAACAAAACCTTTTGATTTAGGAGACGGAAAAAACTTGAACTTTGAGATTTTGTTTTAGCAAGAGAAGAAAAATATATTTTGTTTTATTTCTTCATTCATATATTTTCTTTAAATGTCAAGTACAATTTCTACTCATATTAATTTGCAAACTATATAATGCAATATAGCTTATTATCTGCCATGGAATACATGGCCAAATTTCCCTTATGATCGAACAGAGAAACATGATATTTATTACATGCATGTTATTACAACATAAGCAAGGTGATGGATAGCCATAGGTGACACTATCAAGACTCGTTTTACTTCCACCAATTATATATCTATAATAGATACAAAGGCGTGTCTGCAAATTATCTCAATAATTTATTAACTAATATTCAGTTTGGAAAAGCTCTGATTTGATTAGATGTTTTAAAGGGATTGGCATATCTATTGCAGCTGCTTACAGTTAGATACCGATTTTACACCCACCGTTGGAGATGTCTTGTTTTCTTGATTAATGTTGATGTTAATAGATAAGCTATTTAAAGCATCTACGAGAAGTGTTTGATTTCTTTTTTTTTTTTTTTGGGGACAAGAGAAGTGTTTGATTTCGTGGGGCATGGAATAATCAGTCAGTTAAGAAATCAATTTTGATATTCAAATCTAATAATCTTTCAATGGTTGTATTTGACTAGCCATCTGCATGAAAGTAGAATATATATATGGTAACGGTAGAGGAGTTGCCTTCATTGATATTTTAGTGGAATACATATAACACCTGATTTTATGTGGTTGCCGTAGTTAGACAGCAATTTAATTATCCCTTAAGCCATGTATATCCATTTGTTTTAGGCATATAAAACTCTGTTTGATGATCCAATTCAGCATTTAAATTTAATGGATTCAAAATTTAAACGCGTTTGATAATAAAAAATTGAACATCTGAATTAATTAAGTAGTATTGAATTTTTCAGGCAAAACTTGCTCTAAAAAATAAGTGGTAAGCTATTCACCTATTATTTAAGGTGATATACATTCAAATGTGTCAGATTTAGTATTTAACAATTCAATAATTTAATAAACTCATATTTCATATTTTAAATTTTGTATTTTAATTTTCAAACTTCAATTTTATCAAACGTACCCTAAGATGTGTATTTGTACACATGGGCTTTTGGTTATTTTTGGATTAGGATATTTTTCAAGAATTTTTATAGTGTGGTGCTCAAAGGTTACCGTTTAGTGAAAATAGTTTACCATCTAAGATATTTATTGTTCTCTCGTATTTAGACACTTAACTTAATTTTACTTTTCCAATTGCTTAACAACTGGGTGACTTTCTTAACGGGTAACTATTGATATTTTGTTAGACAAAGTCATATCTCATGGTTAAGAATTTTACTCTTTTTTCCCCCTGATTTTACCAACAACTAACCAATTAACTATTCCAATTCCTTTGCCTGCTTCTTCCTCCCGCCCCTCAAAAAGGGTTCAATGAATGAGATACTAATTAATATACGGTCCATACTTGAGGACTGAAAGTCCCAAAATAACATCATTAAAATGAAGACTGATTTTGTCTTTCTACTTCAGCCCTTGTTAACAAGTAATATTTAATTTAAAATGGGGTTATGTAAATATTCAATTTAAGCCTAGTGAACGTAGTAATTTTAAAGCAACTAGGGTTACTGGCCAACAAACTAATTTGAAGAGTCATTTCAATTCTTGAAACACAGTTAAGATTATAGATATATGTTTATAACTTGTATAACCACCATCATTTTTGCCCTTGTTCTATTACTAGTCATATCGACAACTTATTAATTCGTCTTTCATTTATTTTGCTGAACAAAAGGCAGAAGGTGCATGTATGAATATTAATCAAAATTAAAAGTCACAAAGAAAGCAAGTATAATCTGAAATAGACTGTTGTATATGAAGAAACAATGTGCTATTCTCAGTATATATAGTTTTCATCCAAGAATTGACTTTAGGCGTCAATCGAGTAAATAACAAATAAAAGATTAAATACTCAGAATCAAGAATCCGAGCTTAGGAGTACTTAAAGTGTCAAAATAAATTTGATAATGTAAACCGGAGTCAGTACCAAATTCATGGCATTGTAAATCATATTTTGAAAGCCAGTTAAGAGATTTCTGTAGCCAACAGAAATCTGATCGACTGATAAACAAATTCTTAATCATAAGCTTGTCTTGATTAGTGCCACCACGGATTCTTAAATAAAGGGGACAAGTTTTTGATAAAATCAGGGCAACTTAGGATAAAACTTTAATTGGTTAATTTCTACCGTTATCTAGCTAAAATATAGAGGATAAAACTTTAATTGGTTTTGAAAAGTGCGTTTCGTGTAACGCTTTTTTAATAAAATTATAAAAACAATGTAATAATTAATAAATTAGCAATTATTTTTTAGAGTTTTGTAATTAGTCCATCCCTTTTTCATATAAAATAGTTAAGAATAGATTAATTAAGACCACTATGTTAACACTATTACATGATATCATAGAAGCAATTTGTATGCAAGAGGACAACAAAGACAGGTAGAAATTAATTTTGAATTGGAATTAAGATCACTTAGATGGTTAAATTAATCACTGGGTGTTATAATGGAATTAAGCAATTTGTATGCAAGAAGAGAACTAAGACAGGTAGGAATTGATCAAGAAGATAAGTAGCCAATTACCAAGACAAAGACAAGGTCAGTGTTTCTACAGCAACATATAAGCTCTCCATTTTGTCGTGTAAAACCAACAAAAGTGACCGCCCATCCACAGCTAAACCAACCCACTATTTGGTCCATATTCTTCTTAATTCTTCTGCTGCTTTTATATCTTTGCTGCCGCCTTCTCCTTTGCTGTATTTTCTTTCATGTTATCAGCAAGAATAACATCAAAATCTTAGTCTTCCTTGGCGGCTAACTAGATGGATGAAACAGGAGGTGGTGCGTCGAGTGATGATGCTAGAACTTGTCCTCGCGGACATTGGAGACCCGCTGAAGATGAAAGACTCAGGCAGCTTGTTGAACAATATGGTCCTCAGAATTGGAACTCTATTGCTGAAAAACTTCAAGGAAGATCAGGTAAAGCTGTTTAGTTAAAAGATTCACCAGTCTTTCCATCTGGGGTTTCTGCATGATGACACGATCAGTTTGCATCTTTTACAATTTCAAGATTAGGGTTGAATTCTCCCTTTACTCTTCTTGTGGTAAAATGTTTGATCTTGCTTACTTCCTCGATGATGTTTAATTTAATCTGGAAGTTCGAAAGAATTTCTCTTTAGTTTGATTTCTTTTTGGGCATTTTTGGTAAGCAGGGAAGAGCTGCAGATTAAGATGGTTTAATCAACTTGATCCAAGGATTAACAGAAGGCCATTTTCAGAAGAAGAAGAGGAAAGACTTCTTGCGGCTCATAGGATACATGGTAACAAGTGGGCGCTTATATCTAGACTTTTTCCCGGTAGAACAGATAATGCTGTGAAGAATCACTGGCATGTTATTATGGCTAGAAGGCAAAGAGAACAATCCAAAGTTTGTGGGAAGAGAAGTTATCATGATACGGTAAACGAATCCAATTCTGCCTCTTATAGCTTTCGACGAAAAAATTTAAAATTTCAAGAAGATTATAGCTCAAAAGTGAGCTTTGATAGCAGTCGGTTCTATGGATTTGATAGCAATCCAATCAAGAACAGAATTTTTTCTGTGTCCACCGCTAGTTCATCTCCTCCCTGGAGTTTTATGAGGCCGAGTATTTCGAATGCAAACAATTCTTTTTCAGCTGATTTGTTGGGAAGAAAAGGTAGCGGTCAATTCAGCTCTAGCTCACTCCGGGGATCTAGAGAAATCACCAATAGTTCTTTAGACCAATCTTTATATCGAAATTATTTGAATTCCTCAATCTTTGGTGGATATGGAAATATAGCCGGTGCATTCAATAACCATGGGCATAAAAGAGCTACAGTAAGTCCCTTCGGTTTTCCAAAAATTGGTGATGGAAATGAAGCAAAAGGTATGATTAAAAGAGGGCTTGAGATTGTTGGTGATAACTCATATCAGTTTGGGAAGAATAGGACAACTATTGAGCAGCAGCAACATCAGCAACATCAGCAGGATGATAACGAGTCCATCAAGAAAGAAGACGTTCCTTTCATAGATTTTCTTGGTGTAGGGATCTCTTAACGTATAGTCTTCTCGTTAACACTTCCTTTCGCTATTGCATACATATGCCTTCACACATTGCATGTTTCTTGGCCTGTTTTTAACTTACTGATGTAAAAGTTTTAAGTTAAAAATGATTGATTAGGCTTTTGTTTAGATGCTAAGCAATAGAACTCACCATTTTGTGGCATGTTTTTCGTTTACTATTGTACAAGTTCTAAGTTAGATGATTGATTAATTTTTTTGGTTTGATGAATAAGCAATAGTTATCCTTTCAAGGCATGTTTTTGACTTGTTTACAAGTTTTAACTTGAATGTCCGATTAGCCTTTTGTTTTATGACTAAGTAACAGTATATTCGTCTCTCATTTTGCTTAGGTAGTGCAGTTTGGAACTCTTCTTTGATCACTACAAGATTGAATGAACTTTGAGATTCATCCATCTTTGGTTGGATAAACAGTGTATTTAACCTTAAATCTTTGTCTAATTCCCACACAGATGACTATGATATGCATGATGCGTTTTTTAATACTTTTTTTTTTTTTGTGTAATGATGGAAATTAGGATTTTTTGAGCTACTTTTACGGCATTAATGACGAAGATGCATCATTTCTTTGTAGCAAATATAAGCAGCATCAGGCTAGGAAAGATATAATAGCTTCTTTTGGCAACATCTTGAAGCTCAAAATAGGTAAGTTTGACATGAATATCAGTGTGAGCATTTATATCATTTTCAACAGGATAGAATTAGCCAGGTTTCTTAAAAAGCAAGAAGAAATTGCATACTGTTGAAAGCTATTTGGAACATGCTATCAATGGCTACAAGATTTTTTTATTCAACTCCTTGCCAATATTCTCACACACTCACAATATGTATAAGAAACCATAGTTTCTTAATTGCGTACATCTTAAACCTCAGCTTGATATTTTTCTGTAGGCACTCTTATAGCTACTTCAGCCAAATAGTTTTCCTTCTAGAGTAGATGGTACTTAGCTGGCAAGGGATTTTTCCTTCTTCTCTTCTTGTAAAGAAATTTGGTAAACCCCAAAGATTTGTCAGATTTTTCAAGCCTTAATTAAATAAGCAACTACTGATTATAAACAAAGATCAGATAAGCAATTAGGGTTAGTTTTTTCATTCTGTATTCTGCTTTTATAAGCAATCAAATCGACCTTATAATTATAGGTGTTTTTGTACATCTTTTTTCAAGAGCCCCACAAGTGCTGGAACATGTTTTATCTTTTGAAGGTTGCTCTTGTTATAATGATTTGGTTATAACATTGTTGGCTAGATTTTGTCTGTCCATATCTCTTTGTTTATTTGATTGATAGTACCTTGTGGATCAGTTTTATTGTAGTGATTGCAACGTACAATTTGCTGTTTGGAAATAAATTTTAACTTACCCAAAAAGAAAAAAATCCCCACAGGACTTGCCTCTCAATTTGTACTTGATGGCAAGATTTGCAAAATAATGGGCTTGTATTAATATAGGTAAAAAAATTACATATTTTTAACTTATATACTCTTTCATATACTTACAGTTGAGGAGGACAATCTTGATTTATTCTTGATGGAAAAGATTACTCCTGCCAACTATATTTGTCAATCTAGCAAGAAAATTTGCCTCCAAGACACATATTATCTGTAATATTTGCCTGCATTGATGCCCTCTCAAATTTGATCAAGTCTTATACCCATTGGCTTGATTTCAATCTTGAGTTTGGTTCGACATTAATTGAGTCTGGCTAAAAAAAATCTGATTTGCTGTTTTTTTTTTTCAATTTTAGTATCTTATTATGTGTTTTTCTTTTTTTCTTTTTTGGTTTGAACAAGCTTAATTCATGAATTTGGTACAAAACACACAAATAAGTCTGTGTGTATTCCTAGATTTAGTGCTGTATACATATATGTATACGAGTGCAAATACTTCTTTGGCCCTGCAAGCTTTTCATATTTTCCTTTTGAAGAAGACAGCATTGGCACCTAAAAGCCAAAATTGCAAGGGTAATAGAGTCCATCAATAAGGTATCTGCAATATCAACAAATCCCAAGTTTCAATCCACACCACACAAGCCCTTTTCGACATGTCATTTTAACTTTTCTCAATCTGTTGTAATTTTAACCAAAATACATAATTTAGTGGATAAAATTTATAGTTTTTTATGAGGGTACAATTGAAAATTTCGAAGTTTCTATAAAATATATGGCGACTTATAAATTCTTTTGGGCACGCCCTTGTACTCAAAACTCTAATTTGTTATTCAATTATTCATGTTCAGGGACCCCAGAATATGCAGCTAGTAGCTAGTGAAATTAAATGATCTTCAATCACAAGGGAAGAAAAGAAAGGATAAGAAAACTACAACAGACCATACATCTGCAATTTTTGAAAATAATTCTGCGGCAAATCAGATATTTTCCTCCTCCTCCTCCTTCCCAAAATGATGTCAAATTTTATACCCCATTCATTAAGAAACATTCAAAACAAAGAGAGGAGATTGACAAAGAAAATGGAAAGCCATTGGTTTGCCGGAAAGAACCTTTTGTCATTTGGCTTAGATATCGTGAGACTTAATTTATTGCAATTTTGAAGAAATATGTAAAGTTTGTTGATTGATCAAATCATTTGACGTCGTCCCTTGTGGACTTTTACATGTCTCTTTTTACTTTTCCCAATTAATCAAGCATCCTGTTGAATACGTTATTGCAGCTGAAAGTTCAAATAGAGAAGAAAAGATCCAAAACAACCTTAAACTTTAAAGGGCCATTTTCTTGATGCTAGTGATCTAGAGGCTTTCTCCTTTGTCCCCAAAAAAAAAAAAAAGGCTATCTTCCCCGACAACAAAAACGCATTGGTGTTCAGATTTTGGATCAAGTAGTGTTGCTTCTAATGCTTCAAAATTACATGGAAACAATTAAATGTAATGAGCTTTGAACTCATAGAATAAGTAGTAGCATTGTTATATTAATCCCCCATTTGGTACATCGAAATGTATAGAATGGAAAGGTCTTTCCATCCAAAATATTTTTCCAGTGAGAATGATATGGAAAAAAAATTTTCATTCCAATGTCTGATATGTATGTTAGAATGGAATGTCCATCACATTTTCCATGTTTGGCATAACAATTTTCAGATGTTAGAATGGAGTAAAATATGTATAAAATTGACTTAATTGCTCTGATAAAATCTATTTATTTTCATGCTATGCTATTTGTTACCTTATACGAGGAACTTTGACCTTTTTTAGGTACATTATGAATAACTTATGTGCTTATTAAAATAATATGATTATTATATTTTATTATTTTTGAAATATGAATATGAATATTCATTTTAATTTTTTGTTTTAAATGATAGTGTAATTACTCGCTTACAAAAAATTAAATCACATGAAGCTAAACATTCATATTCTTTTGTTATTATTTTTTTTTCATAATTTATGTCAAGTGCCAAAAAATCCTTATACGTTTGCACAAAAGTTTAAAAGAACAATATCTTAAAGTCAGCAAAGAAAAATATTTTTAAAATAACTAGAATAGTTTGTTAAAAAACTATGGTCAATTATTGATTAAACTAACAAAAAGCCTACTAATTGATAATAGGACAAAGAGATGTATGAGGATAAGTTTGACCCCAATAATTTTGGACATTCCAAGATAAATGTGAGGAATTGTGAGGAATGATTTTTCAAGAAAAAGTTGGAACGAGTTTTTGAGGGGGAAAGGCGATCTATACCAAATATGGGAATGGAACGAACAAGCCAAAAAGGCCTTTCTATTCTAGGCGATTCTTATGTATCAAACAATGGGTAACGATTTGTCAGGCACTCGTTAACTAACAAACATGTGAAAAGTTACAAGTAATCTAACCTAAATGTTACTTAAACATTTAACAATCTTTGATACAATCGTAACGAAATCTACTACCTTTCTTCACTAGCAAAGGAAGAAATGAGAACCTCACGAAAAAAAAAGAAAAAATCTATTTCTGAATTTCTGGCTTATAAGCCTCTGGAATATCTTGATCTGTTTCTTCTCCATAGTTCATAGAGACAAACTTCATGAAACCCTTAATCTTATAGTCAATTTTAACTTTTCACCCCTAGCTTTGGCTTTTGACTAATACCTACAACCAACATCTCAACCCACTACTCATTTTCTTTCAAATAATAGATCTTAATTTCAATGTACAATCATGAACTATCATGACCCATTTGCAGTTTGTACGTTACACTAGCAATTGTACCACCTAAATATCTTGTTTTATCAATTTCTAGAAAGTTTCTTAATTCGGTTGAAAACTAATGAGACATTTGAAAATGAAAGAATTTTTTATCCTTAAACTAATAAGGGTGTTTTGATAAACATATACAGATTAAATGTACTAAAGCTTTTCGTCAAAACTGAGTTAGAGAAATCCCTTAAGCGATCAACTAATCTGACCAGTATGTTACAAAATGATAGTATAAGATAGTGTTTAATTAAATTAATAGTTTTCACAGCAAGCACCTTTTTTTTTTTTTTTTAACCATGACCTCCTATTTACAATCTGTTATGCCTTACCATTCAATCCCATCCTCCCCAACAAGAAAAAACACAAAAAATCATTAAATTTAGCTAGTTATATACACACACACACACATATATATATATATATATATATATATATATTTATATAATACTAACACGTATACTATCCTACTACTCTAGAAAAAAAAATAGTGAAATTTGACTCGGTTACATAGGGATTGGCCATCTTCACTAATTAGAGGGGTGCATTGAACTCCCGACCTGCAACCAAAATTCCTCTTAATAGTCAACTTGCTTTTGACACAAATTGATTGTGCCCATGAGACAAACAACCTAAATTTGATGAAAAGTTCTTTATTACCAACAAAAAGATTAATAAAAGTTCTTAATAGTGCTAAACTACAATTACTACTACACTTTAGAGCAAAAGACAAGCAAGTACTAATTTTTTTTTAAAAAAAAATATTACGAATATGAATGTTAAACCACTTAAATTTTACCTAACTTATCATGTATATACACACATTAACAACTATTACCGTCCCTTGCATTTATACAATTTTCCTAGGTAATTTTACCTTTCCAAAAATCTAACTCCTAAAATACATTTTAACATGTGCCCAATGGGCACCAGTAAGACAAATCCAAAAAAAAAAAAAAAAAAATTAGATTTACGCATCACAAAAACACCCCAAAATTTAATGAATGCATAGAGGAAGAAAGAGAGAGATACATACTAATCAAATAAGA